GTCAATTGCTAATTAATTTAAAGCTGAATTTCAGTTCAACATTCCCTTCATCGGGTCATTATGCCGGCCACTGGCTTGGTGATAACTCAGCTGATTTCGCAGATCTTCGAAGTTCAGTTATTAATATTCAAGCATTTAATATGTTTGGAATACCGTTTGTTGGTGCTGATATTTGTGGTTTTTATCATCCGGCCACTCTGAACTTGTGCGCTCGATGGCATCAACTTGGTGCTTTCTACAGTTTATCACGGTCAGTTAGAACTTCTGACATGAAAGCAACACTATTGTCAAATGCATTTGTCTAGTATCTTTTATGGTAAGATCAAAGATATAAACCACGGAGCAAAGAGAAAAGCAAGTAATGCGCTTTTTCGAGTGTTCCTTAATTCGAAAGGGATCAATGAGGTACGAAACGAAGGGTAATCCTGTCTCTTCGATGAACGCAACTTAACGAAGCAATTGTTCGTTTTAGTGTTCATAAACAGCAACTCGCAAATCCACAGTACAACGAATATTGGATGAATGTCGCAGATGCAATGCGAATCGCGAGCAGTTTCAGATATCGCTATCTTCCGTATTTGTATACGTAAGATTCTTGAACTATTCCTTCCATTCGTCACGACTCAATCATCTCAAAAAATCATTCTGTACGATTGAATCGTGTTATTCAAACTGAATGAATTTCTAAAAAAGTTTCATTTGATTCCAGCACAAATAAGGAAACACCGAGTGAAATTAGAGAGAAGAACATGAGTACTGCTTTGTTGAACACTTCCTTCAGCGTTTGTCGAGTCTATTTTGTTTCTAGCGAATTTTCTTGAATGCTCACAGCTAAGAGAACTGCAGGTTGCATTTCGAAGCATCACGTTCGGGTGGTACGGTGGTTCGTCCACTTTTCTTCGAGTTCCCAAATGATGATGCAGCACACGAAGTGGATCGACAATTCATGTGGGGTCATGCTTTTCTCGTTGCGCCAATCTTAAAAGTGGTAACACTTAAACCTAATATGGATCAAAATTTGAAATACCCGAATGTACGCTTCGCAAATGAATTCCTGAATCTGATCACA